TTGATGACTTAGAGCTATTGTACATGTTCTTGCATTCATCCTGGTTTAATTTTTGGCCTGACACTTTCTTATAGGAACAAAAAGAGGGGGGGGTTCTGTTTTGGCCATAATTTGAGTTATTTTTTTTTTTAAAATGTTACTGTTCAAAAAATGGGCAGTCATAGCAGAAGGAGATGGAAAGATTATCCTCCCACTTTTATATGTGGGATATTACTGGAGCCAGTACATGGAGACTTCTGTCCATGGGGTTATCTCGATTTAGCTTGAGCCAAGCATTCTATCCAATACACATCGTCTTTATCCAATTGTATTCTGCATCAAAAAACCCAGTATGACAATGAAGCACAGCTGATAGGATGAAGAGTGTTGCGCACACACCAGGAGCTGAGTATATATTAGGACCACAATCTAATGAACCCCTTATAATTTCTTTTTCTTTTTTTTAAATCACACGAACAGGGAGGGAGATTTGAGCGGTTTAATTTTGATTATTCATTTTCAGAAAAAGGTTACACAAGATTATGCAAAACACAGTGTTTTTTTATTTTTAAAAAAATCATTTTCAAAAAATGGTTATAGATTCTGCAGTGTTTTTGAACAGGAATTCCTTTGGATTCCTTCAGCCCTTGAGTGATTTCCCATTTCTCCCAGAGCACCTGGGATTGCACTCTGAAACCTGTGGTCCATGGAACCACACGAGAGTGATACACAGCTAAAGGGACCCCTGACCATTAGGTCCAGTCGTGACCGACTCTGGGGTTGCGCGCTCATCTTGCTCTATAAGCCGAGGGAGCCGGTGTACAGCTTCCGGGTCATGTGGCCAGCATGACTAAGCCGCTTCTGGCGAACCAGAGCAGCATACAGAAACGCCGTTTACCTTCCCGCTGGAGCACTACCTATTTATCTACTTGCACTTTGACGTGATTTTGAACTGCTAGGTTGGCAGGAGCAGGGACCGAACAACGGGAGCTCACCCCGTCGTGGGGATTCGAACTGCCGACCTTCTGATCGGCAAGTCCTAGGCTCTGTGGTTTAACCCACAGCGCCACCTGCCTGCTATTTGCTATATTCCATACCGATCCCTCTAAAGGGCTAAGAGTTAGCAGCAGTACTGCTTTAGGTCAGGCACGCTCTGTACTATTGTGGAAGCTGAATAAAATGTGTAAGTGTCTACCTCTTTATGCTCAGGCTGTGCCAATCAAAAGCAATACTGCATGAGTTTTGTGTAGACAGAGCTAGCCATTTGTCTACTTGGGTAGTCAAAAGCAAATGTGATCTGTCATTTTTCTGGGCTCCTCCTAATGTTACATGCCCAGCTAGCAAAAACAAAAAAATAAAAATCAGAAGATGACTGAAGATTATTGTTGTTGTTGTTGTTATATCACAATGGTCAGATGAGAGTATGGGATAAGATCTGGACCATCAAGAGTTCACACATATCATGGTCACACCCTGACCATTTTTATAATATAATAGTTTGTGTCTTTGATTATCTTTCAAAGATACTTGTTTTGTATGGAGAAATGGTAGGCAGTATCATAAATATTCATGAGCCTTGGCATCTTATTACCCTATTTATTCCAGGCATCTGATAGTTCATGGTTCAGAGAGAAGAATCTATTTGCTGGATCGCATACAAATGAATAAAAGCCACTTGGATATCCCCTCTGCGTACCCCTCCCTCAATTCTTGCACAACACACAGGAGCCGCAGCAAGCCGAAGGCTGATGATGTGGAAAGCCCTGTATGATTATGTTGGGGGCCAGAGAGGGCTCAGTATGGGAATAGGATTGCTCCATAACCAAGGGGAGAATTTTTGTTGGATCAACGAAGCCTTTGACTGAATTCTTAGATCTGGCACGTTTCCCTAAAATGTCCTGTGAAGCTGTTGTGTAATCAGAAGTACATGATGCAAAGATATGAGGTGGCTTTTGGGGGAAATTTTACAAGGACTTCCCTCCAGGGAATGTGGACTGGGGAAGGGGTGCTTTTGCCTTCATTCCCTTTAGGAGCATGGGTCGTGAAGTTGTAACCAGGTCCACCTGAGGTGTCTAAAATTACCAATGAGATGTGGGTTCATTCATGCAGGCTTACTCTAACCAATCCTCCTTGGTTTACCAACTTGAGGAGACTTTGTTTGCCTGGTGGTTTCACTGACCTCCAGAGTCACCACTGTTGGGGCCTGGTAACATACCCTCCAATATTTCCATAATGATAATTTTGTTGTTTATACTCCACACATCTTACTGGGATGCCCCAGCCACTCTGGCCAGCTTCCAACATGCCGTGGTACCTCAGGTTACATACGCTTCCGGTTACATACGCTTCAGGTTACAGACTCCACTAACCCAGAAATAGTGCTTCAGGTTAAGAACTTTGCTTCAAGATGAAAACAGAAATCGTGCTCCGGCGGCGTGGCGGCAGCAGGAGGCCCCATTAGCTAAAGTGGTGCTTCAGGTTAAGAACAGTTTCAGGTTAAGAACGGACCTCCGGAACGAATTAAGTACTTAACCTTAGGTACCACTGTATATAAAAACATAATAAAACATTAAACATTAAAAAAAAAAACCTTCCCTATACAGAATTGCCTTCAGACAGCTTGTGGGGCAGATAATTCCATACCCTCCCAGATATTTCCAATGAAAATAGGGACATCCTAAGGAAAAGTGGGACATTCCAGGATCAAATCATAAACCAGGACAGCTTCTCTAAATCAGGGATGTCTCTGGAAAATAGGGACACTTGGAAGGTCTGTGGTAATTCTTCCAGAGTCATCTCAGCACATCCTTTGGGTCAGGGGTGGGCAGAAGATAGAGCCAGATCTACTGGTAGATCTCTAAGTGATTCGCGGTATATCATCAAGGAGTTTGACTCCCAATTGTTTAACAGTAGCAACAAGGTGGGGGGAGGTTTTTCTGTCTAAATTAGATTGCTGAGCTAAAGAAACCTTGGGGGCAACTGTGAGCTCAATTTAGGTAGTGAGAACAAATTCCTGTGCTGTATCCAGAGGCACCCTACTCCTTAATTCTAAGAGTACATTGTCTCCACTCCACCATTTTTGCATCCCACAAGCCTGACGTCTTCCCACCCTTGCCTCAGGTGTGTGGGCAATGAGAAACAAAGAACAACATCATTACGATGCCAATTTTTCGATCCAGGAAGTGTTCATCTAAACAAGGCAGGCAGCCGCAGGAGATGCGGTTTCCCAATCCTTGGCTCCGTAGCAGGACATCCACACCAAACAAAATTGTGGGGAGGAAGTTTGACAATCATTAGTTATGGGCATTGCAGACCAACGAATGTAAACAAGTAAACTGGTGGCCATTCGTTCAGCTAATGTGTCTTGTGCCGTTATTCCTGGGTAAAGGGAGTGATGGAGGATGAGCTTGGCCGCAACGTGAAAGGTCTAAAAAGGTCTAAAAAGAATGTGGGGAATTAGTGGAGCCACTCAGATGGAGGAACATTGAGGATTTTTTTTGTAAGGCTGCCAAACTTTGGGGTAATGATCAAGCTTCTTGGAACCTCTGTATTAGCCTGCACTGTGCTATTTTTTAAATTTCACAGGTAGCCCAGCTTGATCAGGTATTGCAGAAAAGGGAAGGTACCCCAGCAATCTGGACAGGCAACAGCTTGCCGCTTAAATAGACCTGTGCACGAATAAGCAACAGCCAGCAAACGTCATGGTCTTAATCTCGAGCAATTCAAGACATGCCATAAATTTTCCTAAAGTTGGAAAAGAATAGGATTTTAATCTGGACGAGCTGTTGCGCTTCTCTGTAATAGGTTAAACGAAGGCAGCTTGTCTGCTTCACAGCATCATCATGCCTTAAGATAAGGAGTGGTTTGTTGCAGCAGCAATAGAAATTGTCGTATGGCGCTGAGAAAAGTCAGGGCAAGAATGTTGAAGAAAACACAGCCTGTGGTTTCGTACTTTGTGAGCTGTTTTGCTGTTTTTAAGCCATAAATATTTCTTTAGCAAGGCCAGTGCTACGGCACGTGCTGCGGTATCCTACTCCTGAATTTACAGTCATAACAGCCTCATGCACCAGCTGGTTTTATATTTGTGCCAAGCTAATTCCAGATTTTTTTTCATATCTTAACACACACACACACACACACACACACACACACCAAATTTGAGTTTATTTTATGTAAATGATAGCTATGTTTCTGTTCAGAAAATGATCCTAGCTGAGGGAGATGGAACAAATAGCCTTCCACCTTTATATGGGGGATATGAGTGACCTCGATCCATGTGATGTCTCATTAAGTGAACATGGAACGAGCATTCTGGCAGATACGTGTACCCTTTGTGCCCTTGTCTTCTATGGCAGTGGAGCAAAGATGGCGGGATGTGGAGTGTTAGGGACTGGGTGGGTCAGCAGCCCCTGCACTCAGGGAACAGGAGCACCACAGATATGCCCCATATTTGGTTTCCAGCTTGGTAGTCTGGACTCACATGAGCAGTCCCAACAGTCAACTCTCTGAGCAGAAGTAAGAGCAATGGGACGGGGTGAGGAGTAATTTATTCTGCGTTTACCAGTCGTGGGAAGGGCAAGGGGCTCAGAAAGGCACTGGAGGTCCCTGATAAGAGTGTTATCTTGCTCACATTCCCCCATCTTGTTTCGGGGATTTCTGCAGGCCTTGCCTCTCTGATCTCAAGCCTCTGTTTGCAGCAATTAGAAGTCAGAAACATGCATCCCTGAAAGCGAAAGAGAGAAAAATCTTGACTTCATAAAGATGCTGGTACAATCAATTTCTCTGCTTCCACGTCACAACTGCACATAACTTTCTTTGGCGACAGCCTTTGTCCCTGTGAATTGTTTGTGTGCGCGCATCATTTTGTATCGCTTGTGCAGAACGTGTGTGTGTGTGTGTGTGTGTGTGTGTGTTTTACGATCCTTAAGGAAAAGAAAACATGGACACAATGTAACCAGACCAAAATGCATTAAAAAGTACCTCAGTTTTTCACCTTACCTCCTCCTCTTTATTTCCTCTAGAGAGAGATTACTACAGTTTATGTGACAAGCAGCCAATAGGAAGACTTCTCTTTCGGCAGTTCTGTGAGACTCGCCCGGAGCTTGAGTGCTGTATTAGATTTCTTGACTCGGTGGTAAGTTGCTTCTTATGACTGTTGCAAAAGTTTATTGCGCCTTCTTCCATGGTAAAATAAAGATGGAATTGGCCCCTGCATGCAGGTGCAAAGAATGAAACCTTGCTTTCAGGAGGATAATGTACCCTGGACGTGTCCCTGGGCTTTTTTTAAATTTTTGTTGCAGGCTATGCCTCTTGCAGTTCATGGCCTTTGTGGCCCCGTGTTCACATCCATGCCCCAGGCCATGTGTGTGTGTGCATTTGTGTGTCCAGGGGTCATCGGTCAGTAGTTGAATACATGCTTTGCATGAAGAAAGTGCAGGGTTCAGTCCCTGGCACATCTTGTTAAAATCGGGCTGCCTGGACCCCTGAACAAGAGCATTCCTCTTTGGGAGTGGGGATCTGCTGCAACATTGTGTTGCAGGCCCCACTTGTTTCTACAAAATTTGCGGTCACCCGAGAAACTGATTACCTACTTTCCTTACCTTTAAAAGAAAAAAAAAGCCAACAAGAAAAAACTGTGTGTTCAAAGTTTGGATTTGTTTATGCCCGACATGTCTAGACCCTGTAACTGAGATTTGTGCTGCTTCAAGTAGAATTTACAAGTCATAAAAAGACCATGTTGTTTTTCAGATGCTAGTCGACAGAAGCCTAGCAGGATCAGCTTTAATAGCTGAGGCCAAAACAGTGATTATAGCCACACCATACCTTTAAAGCACATGGCTTCCCCTTTCCCCAAATTCTGGGAACTGGTTTAGCTTTGCAGAGCTACAATTCCTAGCACCTTTAACAAACTGCAGTTCCCAGGATTTGGGGTGGCGGGGGTGGGGAGAGGAAGGCATGTGCTCTAACTGTATGGTGTGGATGTGACCAGCCACTGTGGTGCAAAACCACAAAGCCACTTTAGTGCCCCCCTCCCCCCTTTCCAGGTTATTCCATGCAACATAGAACACCATGAGGGAAAGCCAATGCCTGGAAAAACTGTTAAAACTCTGGAGCAATCCTAAATATATTTATCGTAGACATGGTTCTTTTACATTTTAGGTCACAGAGATTTTGGGGGAGATTGTTTGGGAGTTTGGGGAGATTCTTATGTGAAATGTGTTTGCTCATTGTACTCTTCTCCAAAATACCACATTTTTCCGTTTATAACAAGACCCCTATTTTTGGGGACTCAAAATTGAGGAAATGGGGGGAGATTGCTCACCCGCCACTGCCAATTGCACGCATCCACAAAGCCACCAATCGTCTGCCCACTCGCCGCCAGCAGCCAATAATCGCACGACCAATTGCCACAACAGCCAATCACAAGCAGACCTTGCCACAGCCAACATTCACCCCCCCAAAAAAATGCCGCTGGCAATCTCCTGCTCGCAGCAGCCACCAATCATCCGTCCCATCTCAGCACTATCTGTGTATAAGACAACCCCAATCTTTTTAGCATTTTTTTAAAATAAAAAGACCTCGTCTTATACACAGGAAAATACGGTACTTGCTGCTCAACCAAGAAAGTTTCTTTGTTTCAGGAACTGCCCTGTTATTATTATTTTTTGCCTCTGGGAATCAGCTCCACCCGCGTGTGTTTTTATGAGAGAAACCTGCATCTGCAAAAGACTACTGCAAATTTCTGAGCTCCTGCAGATCACTGGATTAGGGTGCCAATCAACTGAATTCAGCAAAGCCAGTGCCATAATTTAAACAAGATATCCTTCATTATTTAGTTGTTTTTATGATACATGTCACGGGTAGGATAAATGATCTGGTGGGGTGGAGGGGGAGGCGCAATTTTCTGCAGGAAAATCAAATGCAGTCTAATTGTAAAGGTTCCAGTCCACAGAATTTACATTCCAATACTGTAGTGTAAAACAGCCAGGTGCCAGCATAGCATCTGTCATGAATAAGCTCTGAAAAGCTGTTTTGACAGGTTTGTAGGTTAGTTGGGCTGTTTCCATGTTGAATTTCAGAAGCTGATTGTGGTTTTTACATTGGATATTCATGGAGCAAAATGAATGCAAATAAAATATTCTTTCTGATGAATTGCATGAGTGCATTCTTCCAGATAAAATGTTTTCATCTTCCAATGTGGCCTAGCTTGATTAATCCCCTCCACCCGCCCCAAAATAAAACACGTAATATGAAAATGTCTCGGTTTTGCTCCGTTTGCCATACACACCATCCTTCCTTCCTAACCCATGAATAATGTTCACAGCATATTTCCTGAGATCATTCCCTTTTAGTTACTTTTGCAGTGGCTAGATTGCAGGTTTGTGGGGAGGCAGGTTGTATTCTGAATTTTGTTACCTATTCGATTTGCTGAATATTCTCCTGGAATCTCTATCCTGACTTGAACAAGGACCTCATTTGTGGCTATATGGATGTCATATTTTTTTCTAGAAACTTCTCAGCATCAGCGTAGTGAATTGAACTATTTCATTGGTAGAGCTTGGCACATCTGGTACTGATGCCCTCACTAACTGAGGGAAGGGGTCACAGCTCAGTGGTAAAGCCATCAAAAGAAGCTTCCAGTATAACTGCTGGAACTAGCAGCTTGAGTGAATCTTCAAAACTTTCAGAAATTCTACTCAGCAACTGTGATTCCTTATTATAAAGATGGGGCGATGCCAAATTGATTTATTTACATTTAAAGCACATTACATATCCAAAAATATCATGGGAACTGTAGTTTGTTAAGTTCTTGGGAATTGTAGCCCTGCAAGGGAAAACTACAGCTCCCAGCATTCTGTAGTCATGGGCTTTCAATGTGTATCAGAAGTGCTGTAAATCTAAGGTGCAGTTCTGCGCCTTATGAAAGAAACAGCAATATGGCTTGTTCCAACTATACGTAGAGAAAACTGGACCAGTCTTGAAGCTCAAGGCAATAATTGGTCCTGGCAATAAAGCTTTGCCTAGAACAAATTCCCACCTATGGAGAGCTAGCAGCTGTGACATTAATTCTCTTCTAGCCTGAGGGCACATATGTGGAGACACCATTATAAAAGGTTCCGAGGGGGTGGTAAAAAAATGAAACAGCTGTGCTTATAAGTTAAAAGCCACCACTGGCCCAAACAAATATATCAAATCTTTTTTCTGCAGTCATGCTCTTCCCCCTACATCCTTTGTTTTCTGCATTCATCCTTGCCAGTCTAGGCTGTTGTTGCCTGATTCTTGCAGTATAGTTTAGAGTTGCATCGCTAGCCATTCCGGCACCTCAGGTTAAAAACATACCTCTTTATGTACGTGCTGATTTCCATTCCCCAAAAGAAAGTAAAGCTTAATAATAGCCAAAGAAAAGTGCCTCTGAACATGTGCAAAGTACCTTTTCACTGAAGTGAATTCTCCTCACTTTCCCCAAGATAATTCAAGGGTGCTATCCTGTCCTCAGCCTCAAGTTTTTTGTGTCAAGACTGTGTCTTGCGTCTTGACTGTGAGAAGATCTCCCCCCACTCTTGTCTGCCTGATTCATCTATGACTACACACACAATACGAAGACAAATAGGAAAAGAAAAGCCCACAAAGTCAATAAAACCAGATCATACAATTTGGACTTTTGAATTTCATCAGATTTTATTTAAAATACATTTAAAGCAAAAATATGAAGGTGCTTCCTATCTCTCCCCGCCCCCCTTTTTAAGACTAAAAAGTAGACTGAAGTCTCCCCACCTTGAGTCCTGGTGGTTAGCAATGTTCTTTTTCATAATAACTATCAACAATCAAACTGGGAATCTTCTGCATGCAAAACAGATGCTCTTACCACTGAGCCACAGTCCTCCCCCTAAAGCTGAGTTTCCTCAAGGACGACTGTTGCAAAACATGGACACAATTCACTAGGGAATTCTCCTGTGCTGTTTTCCATTGGCGAGAATGGGCAGGAGGATGTCCTCTTTCTTACCCTGATTGCAAAGAGCAGTGCTTAAAGCACCTCAATGAAGGAACATAATCATCTTTAACACTTTAGGAAATTGAAAGAAAAACCAATGGTAAGTGGATGTTCTTTTGCCCCTAAGTGGCATGGTAGGTTTTTACTCTGGCAGTATAATCCTATACATATTTGCCCAGAAGCAAGTCCCATTATGTTCATTGGGGCTTACTTCCAGGTGAGTGAACATTGGGCTGCAGCATAAATGTCGTGGAACAGAAGCCATGAGCAGTCCTTTAGAGACAATTCAGACAACGCCTCAGTCAGCAGTAATTTGATTTCTGGACCATTGACTCTGACCTACTTTTTAGTTATCCTTTTTCTGGGTGGGGGAGTGGGGGAATCACCTTCATACCCAATTTAAAAGACCCCCCCCAATTGTTCTTACCTAAAAGTCAGCAATGATTTGTGCTACGTAGCAATGAACAGTGTCCTCTTGCGGCTGCTGTCACTGATGTGATTTGAATTGGCTTTAGGAGAAAGCTCTTCGATAGAAAATCTAATTTTTGTTATTTAAATCCCCTACTCAGATTAGAAAACCAGTCAGTGCTTCCCCCCCCCGTCCAATCTACTTTTGGGAGGTTGGCTGAACAGTTGACACACAAATCTTAAATGGCAATTGCTGAATTAAACCTTTTGCCCATTTCGCACTCTAGAAGCCTAAGATAAGAGTTATGGTCAGTTGACCTTGTCTGGAGGCCAAGCCTTGCAACTTGACCTGTTCATCCTTGCTGTTCCCTGGGCTGCCTAATCACTTGCAACTGACAGTCACTTCCCCCTTCCCCTCCAAAAGTGGAAGAACTGTTAGCATTTTAAGGGGAGCCTTTCAGTTTTCCACCAAAGTTCTCAGCTAGGTTGGTCTTTATCATCCTTGGCTCTCTCATCTTAGTGATGCAGGAATCCAGAAAACATGCTACTCTTCCCTGATGGTTAAGGGCAAGCTTCCTCAACCTCGACCCTCCAGATGTTGTTGGCCTACAACTCCCATGATCCCTAGCTAGCAGGACCAATGGTCAGGGATGATGGGAATTGTAATCTCAAAACATCTGGAGGGCCGAGGTTGACGAAGCCTGGTTAAGGGCTATTGCTGTCCAGTAGGCATC